GTGACACGAGGCGAAGTGGGAGGGGGGTTTGGCGGAGGGGGGGAATGCGGCGGAGGCGGAGGAGGTTGGACGACTGCTCGGCTTCGGGGCCGAAGGGCACCGGGTCGAAGTGGTCAAGGCCTGTGGGTCGTCTAGACGGCCAATGGGAGGAGGCGGTCGGCCGTCGAGTCCCGGTCGCGGCGAGAGCAACCGATGGCCGTCGAGTCCGGCGAACCCGGCGGCGTCGTCGAGACGAGTCGTCGAGGCGAGAGGTCTTTGACGGTCGGCAGGGCCTGAAGCGAGAAAGTGCCGGCCCTGCTGGAAGACCAGCAGACCCGAGCGGCTCGAGCTCGTCTCGCTGCAGGGACTCGAGCACAGGCCTCCGGCCGACTCTGCCGACTGTCTGCCTGGCGTTGCCAAGACAACCGAGAGGCTGGTTCGTGCCGAACGTTGATAGCCACGACGTCCTCGATGACCGCTGACGCGACCGGAGGCGGCTGAGCTGTCTGCCTCGAGTCTGGCTCTGGCGGCGCTGACTCGAGCCTCGCCTCGCAGTCGCCAAGTCGGCAGCATCGTCGTGGCAACAGCGAGTCGATCGAACTGACCGGCAAGGCGAATGACGACAGGCAGGCAACGCGGACGTTGCTAGGGCGATGCGTAAGGGAAGTGTTGCCGTGGCACTTGGCGACTGACAGGCGGGTCTCAGGTGAACGGTGTTGGGCTGTACCTTGACCGGTCACAAGGCGGCCCGACGGCCCTGCGCCCAGTCGGCGGAGTCCAATCGTCCGGCGCGTCGGGCAGATGTGCCCACCGACAGATGGCGCCTGCCAACTCTCGCCCAATCACAGCCCTCTCTTGAGGACACCCACGACATGCGTGCACACCGGTCGCTTAGCAACGGTGACGGCGACGGCGACGGCGACTGTAACGGCGACTGCAACGGCGAGGGCGACGGTGACAGCGACGGCGACGGCGAGGGCGAGGGCGAGGGCCACGAAAGGCGCAAGGATTGGCGCAATGGATGGCGTGACAGCCGGAGCCAAGGGAACACACGAGACGGGCTAGACGTGGGAGGGAGGAGAGGGCCAACTCAATGTTCGCGCTTCTTCACAAAAGCAGGCCTAGTTGCCAGCCGACTGGCCGGCAACTTTTGCCCACGGGGCCTGTCGCCGTGTCGCAGGAGTGGCCGGGTTTGCCCACGAATCCGAGGCAACGGCGGCTGCCACGACTGGCGGCATCGTGGCGACAGTACGTGAATGTTGGTTTGCACCGGTTCGTTGGGTCTGCGGGCCTATATTTACGGTGTTTCCCAACAAACTGACACACAAACCGGCTCGCCCAGTCGGCAACCCCCACTCCGGTCTGCCTCGCCGTGTCGTCTCCAACCCAGATACGCTTGCACACAAGTCTGTGCATGCATCATCATGGAAAGGCGGACACACACACACACATACATGGTCAGAAAAGCACGGAGCCAGTCGCCTGTCTCGACGGACATGTGGTGTT